AAATTTTAAGAGAAGAACGAGTTTGAACACATTTTGATGTGTCTCCAATGATTAGCTCTTTAGGATGAGCATCTACATACTTTCAATCCTTAGGTAATGATTTTTTGGAAGAAGATCCATCCAAGTTGCTAGTGGGAGGAGAGGTTTCATTCAAATTTAAAGCATCAAAATCAAAATCATTATTAAAATCATTTTATTTTATTCGAAAACCTCATTGAAATTAACATGAATAGATTCTTATACAACTAAAGTTTTTTCATTAAACACGTAAAATAATTTAGAAGTAGAAGAATATCTAAGAAAAATACCTTCATTGGATTTTGCATCAAATTTTTCTAAGACATCGTTTTCGTTTAAAATAAAATATTTATAACTAAAAACTTTAAAATATGAAACATTGATTTTTTTGTTATTCCATAATTCATAAGTAGTTTTGAAAAGTAATGGTTTTACTAGAACCCTATTCATGACATAGCATGCCGTGTTAACGGCTTCAGCCCAAAAATATTTGGGTGGGCTATATTCGTTTAACATTGTTCTTGTCATTTCTTGTAATCTTCTATTTTTTCTTTCAACTACTCCATTTTGTTGAGGATTTCTTAGAGTAGGGAAATTATGGTTGTACCCATTTGATTCACAAAAGTTTTAAAAATCACAGTTTTGAAACTCACCACTGTGATCACTATATATAGATGCAATCAAAAGCCTTTTTCCACAACACCTGAGCTCTTGGTGCAATATCTGATCCTTCTAGCCCGATGCCTGAATTCATGGCATGAAGCCTTCTACCGACACGTTGACCTTTCTCCGGTTCGATGTTTAATCTTTTGACATGTTCCATTTCGGCCCAACTTTTGATTATACTATTTTAATCAATTTATCTTCCCTGATCGAAGCTAGACCTGCATCACTTAAATGTACATTAGATTATAACTTAAATGCACATTAGATTATAACTTTATCAATTGGTTTCATCATCAAAATCCGAGATTCAATAAGTACATCCGCAATCAATGAGTAGAGTGAATTATTATGGAGATAATAATTCACTAAGCCAAAAGGAGTTCTGATAGGTATGACTCATAGCTTGCTTGATATTGGGACTAGAGGGTAATACACATATGGTATGCGTTGTGACGAATAGAGGTTCAGATATGAGATATCCGCCAGAACCCATATCTTATTGGATATCCAATAAGCCCATGAATTATTGGATCCTATGGATGAGATCTAATAAGAGCCAATGAGAGATTGTTGGATAGAGATCCACTAATCTAAGAGGCTTTGGTAGTTGGATGAAGATTTAATACCTAATAGGGTAGGATCCATTAAGGTTAAGTTGATAGGGGACCTCTATAAATATGAGAGAACCAAATGTTCATAGGCTAGAGCTTCTCTTGGTTGTCATCTCCTATTCTCCTCCTCAGATAGCAAGCTTGGAGATTTGAGGAGCATCGTCGTAACCCTGTTGTGTGGGTCACCGTTAGAGAGCAGAGCGCTTGACTTTCTTCATTCTCTCGTACATATATGTAGGTATTCAGAAATATATAATCTCCCTAAGTAAAACATAATCTTTTATATACACAGTTTTCGATTTTGCTGATTTTGTGTATCACGACGATAAACATATCATGGGAAATTTGTTGATGTTGCCTGTATATTTTCTTACAAAATCATGCAAAATATATCAGCACACTCTCGATAATACCTCTTTAATAATTAGGTTTCAATCTAATCCTAAATTATCTCATCTTAATAGTGTTAAAAGAATATTTAGGTATCTTAAAGGAACTCCAAATTTAGGATTATGGTATCCAAAATCTAAAAAATTTGATTTAATAGCTTATGCAGATGCCGATTTTGGCGGATGCAGGATAGATAGAAAAAGTACATCCGGAACATGCCAATTTTTAGGACATGCACTTGTTTCTTGGACTTCCAAGAAACAAAATTCAGTTGCACTGTCTACGGTGGAAGCCGAATACATTGCTGCAAGTGCATACTGTGCACAAGTTGTTTGGATGAAAAATACATTAGAAGACTATGGAATTCACTTCAAAAATGTTCCCATAAAATGTGATAATACTAGTGTCACATGTCTTACCAAAAATCCAATTCAGCACTCTAGAACTAAGCATATCGATATTAGGCATCATTTCATACGCGATCATGTCCTTAACAATAATGTTGTTTTAGAATTTATTGACACAAAGCATCAATTGGCAGATATTTTTACAAAAGCCTTAAATGAAGACCAATTTGAATTCATTAGAAGGGAACTAGGCATGTTAAATTGTCCCTGAAAATAAGCTTGTTTGAATATATTTTCTGAAAAATATCTCATCCTTTTCCGTTCTTCTATGGATTTGACTTCATCATTCTCCTTCGATTCAAAATGACATATTAAAGTACAACTCATTATCTTAACCTATCTTGAGTCAAACACCTTTGAAAAACAAAAGGGGAAGAAAATTTTTTTTTTCTTCTTCTTCCGCAGCACGCCAACGGTGGCACCGCCTGAGCGCTCGAGCGCCAGGCGGTGGCACCGCTCGGTTTGGCGGTGGCACCGCCCGAGACACCCTATAAATTCCAAATGGTTAGGGCCGGCAGTGACACCACCCCCAACCCATGCAGACCTCCCTCAAACTCTCCCAAAAACTTCCTAACTCTCATTCTAACCTCTAGAAGTCTTGGAAAGGGATTCTTATTGGTCCAAGCTCTCCATCCTCCAAGAAACACTCCATAAGGTAAAATCTTTCCTTCCCCTTCTTCTTGTTTTACCTACTCATTACAATTTCATTTTTTTTTCTATCATCTTGTCTAGACAATGGCCCCTAAGAGATCAAAAGGGAAAAGGATTGAAGGAGATTCATATGACCACGATCTTTTTAGATCCAAAGAAGATGCCCTTAGGATTCCAAAATTTGAAACAAGATGTATCCATAAGGGTAAACACGTTGATCTCGATGAACTAGGAGACTTAGAACCCATTAGGTGGTTTGTTCATCTAGAGGCCCTACCTCTCCTACAAATAGATGAACCAATTTATCCTAGGTTAGTTAGGCTCTTTTATGCAAACCTATGGGTAGATGACGATAGCCTAAGTACTTACCTTTTAGGAACACAAATTAGGATTTCTGATAATACTATTTGTGAACTAATTGGAATCACTGAAAAAGATAGGAGCTGCTATTTTAAAGGTAAATGGGATGTTAATATAATAGGAGCAACTTACACCGAAGCTGTCGAAACTATTTTTGCAAACTCGGACCTCGGAATTGGGATGTTCAAATTTCAGCACCTCCTACAACATACCTATAAAGTCCCTAGTGGATGCTCGGTCTCATTAGATCCACATGATGCATAGTTCACGCAAATGTGGGGTGCTAATTTCAATCATAACTGTGCATTTACTTGCGCCAAACCCAGGATCACATAGCTTTGGATGACCGAGGCAATTAGCTGACTAGACAATGTGAAACCATAAGGGATTAACATGCGTACCATGTGGGATTTATCTATTATTGGAATGCCACTCCATGAGGCCTTGGGATTGGTCGGATGGTGCTTAGATGTTGATTATACAAATCTGACTTGTTGATCACGCAATGCCCCATTGACTCTCAGAACATATTGATTGCATGGTAAAAGTGAATCTGCCACATGGGGTAGAGTCATCGATCACGTGGCGTTGATGTATTGACTGTGTGGAACCGGGTTATTGACCAAATGTATGTGGCAAACGTATCGATTACGTGATCTTAACGTATTATCAATACGTTGTTGACATGTCAGTCATATTGTATTAGTGTTGGCCAAGTGGTGTCGATGTGTTAATCTTATCATTTCTACTAAAACAACTTATCAAAAAAAAAAATCATTTCTACTAAAACAAGTGTAAAGCTAAATCGATTATAATATTTTTAAATATATTTATAATATTTTTAATTTAATCAAATCAATTATAATATTTAAAAAATAGTTAATATTTTTAAATAAATTAAAAAAATGATCATATTGTAACTCAGTCTTCTCACAAATATTAATTATGAATGTTAAACTGAACCGTTTGTAGTGTTTTTGAATAGAGTTAAGTTAATTCAAATTTATAGTTCACTTCAACAGATCTAGTGCTTTTGAATAGAATTATAGTATATATTGCTACTAAATTAAAACAATGTAACCTATTAAAAAAAAACTGTATAATTCAAATTATCACAAATACTAATTATTAATATTAGTATAGGTATTAAGGTTTCACACTAACAATAGATATCAAATTTACTATATTTAATTATAACATTTTGGATGATAATTATGACAGACTTAACATATTTCAAAATAAAGCATGATAAAGATTCTAAAGTTTTTAGTTTATGTTAAATTTAGATCTAAAGATTTTTAAAATTTGTATAATATTATCATTTACTGTAAAGGAATGATAATAAAAAATACTATTCGTCATTATAGAATTATTTTGTTTAGTAATAAAAATACTATAATTGTATTAAAGAATACTATCAATAAAAAATCCTGTAACTTCTATTCAGAAACACTATAAATAAATAACAGTATAATCCTTTGAATCGGTTTAGCCCCCAAGCAAATTTTTGTAGGAAACTACTTTTTAACATTATTTTGATATTTTTATAAAGAAAATGACCTTTGAAAAATATAGAAATGAGTAGCAAGATCACAATAACATCCGTCTTTTGTGGGAAATCGTCAGTCCGATACAACCCAAGAAAAACCGTCAGACGGCTTGAGCCGAAATATCGGTCCCACATCTTCTACTCGAACCAGTAGTACGGGGCCCTTATTTTAACACTATTAGTGGATGTCACGTCAGTATGCCTGCATTCAGGCCATGACTCGATTAGGGTTCTGAGGCTGCAGCCCTCGTAAGCGTGAGGGAAAGTGATCTTGAGCCGTGGGCGGTAACGCGGAACGGAATGCGCGGCCCATTATTGGGCAACGCCTTTAAGCACGACATGTTTTATCGAATGCTGCGTGGCGCAGTAGGGGAGGAGTCGTTTTCAGTCGTACCCTGGGTTGCGCTCTCGTTGCCTTTCTTTGGTTCGCTCTGTGTAGTGCGGTCTCCACTCTCGGATTTACCCTCCATGGAGGACACCGTCTCCGAAATCCAAGGCCCGGAGCCCTCCGAAGAGCCACTCCCTCCTCCTCCGCCTGCCGTGCCCGACACCATTCCTCCTTCCCAGCACAACCACTGCGGCTCCGCCTCCGCCTTCGCCTTCTGGGCTTACCTCGCCGTCGTCGTCTCCCTCCTCGCCCTCCTCCTCCCTTCCCCCTCCCCCTCCTCCTCCGACCGCCGCTCCTGGTTCCTGTCCCTCCCTGATGACCTCCGTCAACACCATGGCCGGGGCAAGCTCCTCAAGGCCCACGCCGCCGCCCCCTCCCGCCCACCCCTCCAAGTCTTCGCCGTCGAGGCTGGCCCTCGGGACGGCGATGTCGTCCTGCTTCTCCACGGCCTTGGATGCAGCTCCTACTCCTTCCGCCGCGTCCTCCCTTCCCTTGCCTCCGGTGGCTACCGCGCCGTCGCCATCGACCTCCCCGGATCCGGGTTCTCCGATCGGCCGGACCTACCAGACGACGACGATCGGAGGTTGGGAGGCTTCTTGGGTTGGATTTTGGATGTGTACAAGGAGATCAGGGAGAAGGGGATCTTCTGGGGCTTTGATCAGCTTATTGAAACTGGCGAGATCCCGTACGATCAAATTGGGGTTAGGGTTCCGAGAAAGGACGGCACTGCAAGCCCAGGCTATGGCTCAGTGGAGATGGGACGGGTTATAGGAGAGGTCATCGAGTCGATGGGGTTTGCGCCAGTTCACCTGGTGCTTCATGATTCGGCTTTCCCCACCGGGATGAATTGGGCTTCGGTGAATCCGGGATATGTGAGAAGTGTGACTGTGGTTGATTCTTCTGCAGAATCTGCAGCATTTCCTTCGTGGCTTCTGGCAACTCCTGTCCTTGGGCCGCTTCTGCTGAGGTCGAGGTTCTTGTTCAGTGGGTTGCTGAGATTGTGTTGCTCGAGGTCCATTGATGGGGCAGCGGCTGAAGCGTATAGGCTTCTTCTGAAAGGGACGGATGGGAAGAAAGCGGTAGTGGCAGCTGGGAAGGCGTTGAATCATAGCTTTGATTTGGCAGAGTGGACAACTTTGGATGCAATGAAGGGCATGCCGCTTCAGATTCTCTGGTCGAACATGTGGTCAGATAGATGGATTGATGAAGGAAAACGAATATCTGCTGCTGCCCCAATGGGAAAATTTTCTTATCATTCAGGAGGTCGGTGGCCTCAGGTGAGACTTGACTATTTTCGCTCTAACTTATGTCTAAAACTTATGGTTCGTACCATGACAAGTCTTTCTGATTCATTCTTCATCCACTCATTATACGTTTAATCGAAGATCAGTTAGATTCTGGATGTGAACAACTTTATCTAAAAAAGCATGTTATATATGTAGGTCCCTTATATCATTTATTCATTTCTTGAATACATATCTAATAGTAAAAATGCATATGTTTTATCAACTTTTGATGTTTTTTATTTGCACTCGAAAGTATATTTGTGAATACTATTTTTACCAATGGTCTTTTAGAACCCTTTTTTTACCCTGTAAGGTTTTCTGATGTAGAGTATGCATTCAATGAAGGATGATTCCATGTTATTGCAGCTGACAATGAAATCTGAGATGCAGAAGTGAATTTAAGATAAAATATACAATATATTAACATACGCTTTAAGTTTGGGGCACTTGTCACTTTGTAGATGGACCTGAGATGGATGTTTTGGCACTTTCTAGATGGACTCGAAATGGATATTTATGAGCTTCAGATTGTTTGCTTACAGAAAAGATCTTTAAGCTGCAATTCGAATTCTAATTGATTCTATTGTCACATGATACAATTATTTCCAGAAGGTGTCTTCATTTTTTTAATCCGTTTTTTGGTAGGATACATGATCCTTAGCACACAGTTCTATTGACAAAATAATGTTTAGAAGTTTGTGAAACATTCTGGAACTCAGTGAATGCACATTAGTGAAGATATACTGAATTGACTTAGGTAAAGGTCATCAGTTTGTTATTTCATGGCCTATAAAAGTAGAAGGTACACTATTGGTATCCTTATAGATAGAAAAAGGTTGCAGTTCGTTTGATAATCATTGGATGACTATACTTTTTCAGTTTGAACCATGGAGTGGTTAAAAGTGATGCAAAATGGGGTAGGGAGACTCCACGGAAAATTGGTGATTCAATTTGACATGTAACGAGAAGATAGACAGTAGGTGTGGGCTAAGTAATGTATTTCTTTTTTTCCTGCAAACTTCAACAAATAGAAACAACAGTGGAGAGAGCTTTTTGTGACATCCGTTATGATTGCAGATAGTAACTGGCACTGTTTTTGAATCTGTTGGTTTGGAAGAGGATGGAGCATAGAATACTATGACATTGATCCCTGTGAACTGCAGGGGACTTGCATCATGATTGTGATAAGCAATTGCAACCTACTCAATCACTTCATCAGGTTCATGGTGGGTGCTTCACCTGGTGTGCCATATTGCTTGCATGCATAAATTCCATGCTAATTTTGTCAATCCCAGGTTCTTCTTCAACATGGCCAAGCCTTTAATTTGCCTCTCACACTCAATGAGACTCTTTGAGGTCTTGCAATCGCTAGGATTGTAACTCCCGAATTTAGATTGTCATCAAATGTGGGAAGAAACTTGAGTCGATATAAAAGGCTAGATAGGTTTGCTACCAGTAGCTCAGGCTTAACCATTTTGTAGCTGTGAAGCTGGATGCCTCGTCAGGAAGGTACAGTGACAGTGAAAAGCTGAAGGCCTATGTTACTATGTTGTTGTCTCATAGACCAATGGGAATGACTCCTCTGTTAAGTTATCCATAGATGTATCCTCTCCTGCAGATTCTACAGATATACTAGCTCCATCATTGCAGGCTGGAATGTGGTTAGGAAATTTTAGGCATAATCTATGTATGAAACAGTTGACCACAAACAAAAAGAACCATCAATCAACCAACTGAAAGCTATTATGCAGAAGATTTTGAGGATGATGGTGACTAGTGGATTCTAACAAGAAATTATTATCAATAATCAGGACCAACCCAGCAATAGGGGCCTGCATAACTTAAGGTATTCATTATGAACTAAATATAAACAAATTGATGGAATATTGGATTTTTTTGAGGGAGTAGGTCCACAAATGGACAGGGCATGTTGCTTAGCCAGGTGTACATACTACTAGGATTACTCAATCAAAATGTTGTCCTACTGGAGTAGGTTCATAACAGCTTCTGTACCATTTTATAGAATATCGATATTACCATAAGAGAAAATAATGGGTCAACTCTTGATATCTGATTGTTTCTTTAACCTCTCTTTGTCATTTTCCTGCTTGATCTATCAGTCTGATCCTTAGCAAAACCTGAATGATTGGCCCCTGTTAGTTTTTTATAATTAGCCAAAATATTAGTTATAAAAAAAACAGATGGATCTGATTTATGTTTTGTAGTGTTATCCCTACTAATTGGAAAGAAAGGGGAAATATTAAATAAAATATTACAAAGTACCTTCATGTAAAGCATGCTCTGCCTCTGTGACAAAAGCAAAACTCTCCACACAAAGAAGCAGTCTTAATCTCATGTGGCAAAATAAGTTCTTCCTTTTTTGATATACTTTTTAATTAGTTTTCCCTTTGGTAGGCTTTATCTTAGCATTGAGAAAAAACATTATGTTTGTTAATGAAGCAGAAAAACATAAACTTTCTCTATGTGACTCAGCAATTAATTTGCAACATTTGAGGTCTAATAATCTGATCCTAGCTCTTCTATGTGGCCTTCTTTGTTTCTTGTTTTATACAGTATGACATTTTGATAGGTCCGCACTGAGTGAACAAGATAACAAAGGTGCTGCAACATTTTGTGTAATACTTTATATGTGCTTCATATGGATGTTGATTTTCTGTTTTAAATCCGGGATACACAATATTTAGTTTCTTCAGTTTACAGGTTGTGATGATTGGGAGTAGACAACAAATTCCTCCTTTTGTACTCATTAATCGTAACATTTTAATTTTTTTTATGGTAGCTGCTTCATATATTTTTTAGATTTTGCACAATTTTGTAGTATTCTTGTTACATAATTGTTCCCAAAACAAACTAATTCAACTTAGTTCCTAGCTTTTTTCACAATAATGTTAAAGCATTTCTTCTTTATTCAATGTTAAAAATCTTTTTCATAGTTAGTGTTATATTTGTTATTCATAGAAAAAACTTTGATGATTCAGAAAGTATTTCTTTTGGCGGCCAAGGAAAGGATCCTGGCTTTCTCCTGTGGACCCAGGAGTCCATTCAATTTCAAGAAAAATATGACACATCAGTGGCTAGCTTGAACCAACTCATATGATGCTTATAATTACAGGAAGATGCAGCAGAAGAAATAGCTGGAATGATTGTTCAGTTCCTGTCATCATTACCTAAACTGACAAAGAAGATACTAGAAGAACCTCCACCAGAGCACATTAAGAGATTATTTGATGAAGCAAGTGATGAGTATCACCACCACCACCATCATCATGGACATGGTCATGATCATGCTGCTGCTTATGTTGATATGTATGGTATCGGTCAGGGATGGGGAACATGATACTTCTGAAGGGTTGACCTACAGGTGATTTACAGGGTAATTTTCAAGATCTCTGTGATCTCATTATGATACTTATATTGTGTTAGTAGTCTTACAGCTGCCACTCTAAGCGTAGGAAACTTTTTAGGATTTTTTTGCTGTGTTCTCTGAAGCTCCATGTGTTGGAATGTTCCTGATATGGGGTAGTTCCCTGCAACTATTATCTTGCATACTGCATTACGAAAAGACTTCCCATCTCTTGAAGGCAAATCGTGTTAAAAGGTTTGCAGAACCATTAAGTGTTGATATTTCCTCTGGTTATTTAATCTAGAGGGTACGTTTCCATTGGATGATGATTGTTATATGTTATTGTATTGGACTGTATGCATTGCAAGAAAAATGTTTTAAGCTATGGATTAGGTTCTAACGGTTTCTATTGTCTCGTGATAAACCCATCCCTTTTAGTGTATTCATGCTCGTTTTATTACCTTGCATACTTGAAGAGATGCATCTTCATGTTTCTTTCAATTATTTGATTTGGAAGGGTAACATTTTTCCTCTAATAATACTTTCATGTAATTGCAGCTGAGTATGAAAGAAATCTAAATTGCAGAAATGAAAGCAGGACGAGAAGTATACAATGTATCAGCGGGAAGCTTCAAGTTAGGTTGCCACATTGTGTGGCTGGATGGGAGACGGATATTTCTGAGCATTAAATAGTGTGCTTAGCAAGAGAGATCATCTCAACTTGCGTGTTAGAATTTTTTCCAACTTCCTCATGATGCATCAGTCGTCTCATCCTGGGCACGTTCTTGGTTGCGGGCAACAGGAAGACGAGCAGCTCCGTCTTGGTTTTGGGGGAACAGGAAGATGACGAACAGCTCCGTCAGGATTGTGGTGATTCATGTAGCGAAGAAGAAGATTTCAGTATGGAGGTGGCACATCATGGATCGGAAAGCCTGGGAGATGGCGAAGGTGAAGAACATGTTTGATAACGGCAAGGGGGAAGGTCCTCGTTGGACATAACGGCAAAGGCGTAGCCGGCGGTCCTCGTCGCTAGGGGGAGGGTCTCGCTGGGAATCAACCAACCGAGCGGTCTCCATGACCAGGATAGACAAAGCTGGACACTAACGGGCACGAGCAGCACCACCCAAACTGCCAGCTCGTGTCTTAGCTCGTTAGTGGATTTCGAGTTAACAAGGGACTAATTACAAATTACTCATATAATTAAATTTTTTTAACATCTTAATCTTTAGACTTAAAATTTTATATTAGATATTATATAATTATAAAGATAAAACATCTAGTTTCATTTATCGTAATGTCATTAGTCTTATCGATAAAAGTATAAAAATGATAGACAAAAACGTTGATTTCGGTTAGTCACGGGTATTCTACGAGTCAATCATATAAGATTACGATAATGAAATCGATTCGTCTTTAAACACAAATCTTAAATAATCCTAGTAATAGGTTACTCAAGAGGGATATCGAGATAACCAAACAAACTAGTGTATTGTATACCTGTCCATATGATAGAGGTGGTTGGTCTTATAGTTGCTAGTGTGAGGACACTAGGGATATAGTGCAGGTGCTTATTAGAGAATGAATTCACTTATTGATCCGCTCACAGAATGTTAGATGATTGATAATGTCTTATTATCAAACAATGATTTCGTTATCCCAGTGGTATATTTGGTTCTTAGACTTGAGACACCAAAGATGTTATGTATAAGTACTCCAATCTTTGATACCAGACTTATAGGTCCGAAAGTTCTAGATCTAGCACAATCGGTCATCGGGAGTGACAACTAACTTTACGAGGGCTATTGAGTATCGATAGAGGATCATCCGCTCTCGGTGTCATGAGAGAGATATCTCATATGTTTTTGCACAAACAAATCTATTGTTAGGGTTATTCGAATTGAGAGAAAAAGAGTTCTCCGAGAGAATTCAATTAGAGTGAAATTCAAGTAGAAACCATATGGGTTTGATAGCATAATGTAACGTCTAGGGACTACGACGTAGTGGCCTAGTACATCCGTAGTCGATAAGTCGAGTGAATTATTATGAAGATAATAATTCACCGAGCTAGAAGGAGTTATGACAGGTATGACTCATGACTAGCTTGATATTGGGCCTAGGGTCATCGGGAGTGACAACTAACTTAACGAGGGCTATTGAGTATCGATAGAGGATCATCTGCTTTTATTGTCATGAGAGAAATTTCTCATGTGTTCTTGCTCAGACAAATCCATTGTTATGGTCATTCGGATTGAGCAAAAAAGAGTTTTTCGAAAGAATTCGATTAGAGCGAGATTCAAGTAGAAACCATATGGGCTTGACAACACTATGTAACGTCAAGGGACTACGATGTAGTGGCATAGTACATCCGTAGTCGATGAGTCGAGTGAATTATTATGAAGATAATAATTCACTAAGCTAGAAGGAGTTCTGACAAGTATGACTCATGGCTAGCTTGATATTGGGCCTAGAGGGTCACACACATATGGTAGGCATTGCAAAGAGTAGAGGTTCAAATATTATATCCGTTGGAGCCCTTCTCTTATTAGATATCCAATAAGCCCTTGAATTATTGGATCCTTTGGATGATTAAATAAGAGCTAATGTGAGATTATTAGATAGAGATCCATTAATCTAAGAGGCTTAGGTAGTTGGATGGCGATCCAATACCTAATAGAGTAGGATCCATTAGGGTTAAGTTGACAAGGGGCCTCTATAAATAGGAGAGAATCAAAGGGTCATAAGCTAGGCCTTCTTGGCTGCCACCTCTTGTTCTCCTCTCCCCTTCTCCTCCTCAACCAGCAAATATAGAGATTTGAGCAGCGATTCAATAAGCGCCTTCACAGCCTTTGCCGTATGGATCACCACTAGAGAGGAGGACACTTGACCTCCTTTATCCTCTCTCACAGATCTGTAAGATTTCAGAGATATACGATCTTCCTAGGTAATACAACTATCTCACACGTGGTTTTCAGTTTCATGAGTTTTTATGCACCAATCTTTGTATGACGATGAACACCTTTTTGGGAAATATGAGATTTTTATTTTCTGTTCTTCCGTTGTGCATGTGGTGTTACCCCTAGATTTTCTTACAATTTCAATATCTCAATTATGTTTTCGATGGTGACAGACGATGACACTACTAGGGGCCATAGGTGATTGTTGTAAATGAGGAGGGAGACTAACGACAAAATGTGAGACAAAAGGAGAGGGGGGAAGAAAATGACACAGATGTCGACGCTTTATATTTGTGTTGGTGTCGCTCAGCAATTGTGTCGATGCCGATGCAGATGTTGAATAACGTCGCCCTTCCTCGCATCATTGTCAACATCGACGTAAATGTAGAGTGGCTCCACTTTGCATTTGTATCTATATCGATATCGATACAAATGTCAAGCAGTGCTCTGTATCTGCATCTGTGTTGATATTGATGCAGATGTCGAGCGGCCCTTTCACTACTCTGTATCTGCATCGGTGTTAATGCAGATGTCGAGTGACCCTTTCGCCGCTTTATATCTGTATCGGTGCCGACGTAGTTATTGAGTGACACTGACGTAGATGTAAAGCGTCGACACTTGTGTCGATTTTTTTCTCCTCTCCCTTTGCCTCATCTCTCCTCGTTGCTTTCCCTCCTTATCCACAATAATCACCCTTGGTCCCCAATGATATCACCATCTACCACCATAAAAAATATAACTCAAATATTAAAATTATATTTTTGCCCATTGTTTTTATGCTTCCGTTGGTAAAACTAATGGCATTAAGATAAATGAAGGATTTAAATATAATTTTTTTAAATATAGGGACCATGATGCTAAAGAGGTCTAACTACATGAGATAATATATAATTAGCTGAGCAGAATGCCTTTGATAACTACCAGTCATAGGTGTCCTACAAGCCAATCACGTGAGTGATAGCACGAGTGACATGACATGTAGTCTTTTTGCTTATTATTATTATGACATTCTCTTACTTTATATTGTTTATTGTATAAATATATTGTGATGTCCATGGATCTGTGCAATGTGAATTGAATCGTGATGAGATCACGATAATGAGACCGATTCACCTTTAAACACAAACATTAAATAATCCTGGTCATATGTTACTCGACAGGGACATCGAGATAACCGGACAGACTAGTGTACTGTATACCCATCTATATGATAGAGGCAGCTGGTCTCATAGCTGCTTGTGTAGGGATACTAAGGATATAGTGCATGTGCTCATTAGAGAATGAGTTCACTGATTAATCCGCTTATGGAATGCTGGATGATTGATGATACCATATTGTCAGATAACAATTTCGTAGTCCCAATAGTGTATCTGGTCCTTAGACTTGAGACACTAATGATGTTATGTATGGGTATTTCACTCTTTGATACCAGACTTATAGGTTTGGAAGTTTCAGATCTAGTACAATCGATCATTGGGATTAGCAGCCAACCATATGAGGGTTATTGAGTGTCAATAGAGGATAATCCACACTCGGTATTATGAGAGAAATATCATGTGTGTTATTGCTTAGGCAAATCCTTGGCCAAGGTCATTCAGATTGAGAGAGAAAGAGTTTTCCGAGAGAATCCGATTAGAGTAAGACTCGATGAGAAACCATATGAGCTTGACAACACCATGCTTGGTATGCGGTCTCTAAAAAATTAGATGGATGAGGGACTATAGGTACACGATAATTAAGGATAGGTAGGTCTAATAGATTAGATTCCACTGTATCGTTTATAGTCGATGAGTCGAGTGAATTATTATGGAGATAATAATTCATAGAGCTAGAAGAATTTCTGACATGTATAACTCATGGCCAGCTCGATATTGGGCCTAGAGGGTCACACACATATGGTAGGCGTTGCGATGAGTAGATGTTCAGATATGAGATATCCCCTAGAGCTCCTATCTTATTGGATATTTAATAAGCCCATGAATTATTAGATCATATGGATGAGATCCAATAAGAGCTAATAAGAGATTATTGGGTAGAGACCCACTATTCTAAAAGGCTTGGGTAATTGGATGAAGATCCAGTACCCAATAGGGTAGGATCTATTAGAGTTAAGTTAATTGAGGTCCTCTATAAATATGAGGGAACTAAAGGCCCATAGTGTCATAGACTTAGCTGGTTTTGCCTAAGTCGTGCGGCACCCTTGCGTGTCCATCCGCAAAGGTCAGCCACCCCGAAGCTTCCCATGGTCCCTTAGGACCCACAAAAGAGAAAACGGGTTAGAGAAAACGCCTCACTAGGGATCCACAAGCAAACATTTTTGAAAACACTTCATAGACAATGTAAATTACAAACATACTTTACAAGCTCTAAACAATTACATAACAAAGGGTCAAAATGGTCCACTACAGACTGAAAATCTCTCACAAGTGTCCACATGACACAACCT